ATTAAATGATTGTTTAATCACTCAGGAGACCTAATGGCTGCTTGGAAAGTGTCTGGAGCACACGCGCTGCCTAAAAGGGTGGCAGGTTTTGCAGTGCGTACTGCAATCGTACTGATAACAATGGCACTTCACCTCTAAGGATGCCATTATCTGCTTCAACACTGTTGGCACTTCTGAGATGCCAGGCTCACTTGTCTTTGGCCAATTGTGTTAGAGAGGTGAGTTTTGTGGGTTTTTCGGGGGAGCCAGGCAAGAACACAATTCTCATTAATGCCGTATACTGAGCTGCTGTTGTTGTGTGTGTGCAGCCCAGGAATATTCTAATATTTCTGCCCAAATGGATGAGAACAAGAACAAAAGCAATAAAAAAATAAATCCCAGTAGCTCAATAAGACTACGAATTATGAGCATTGTTTCCAACAAAACATTGCAGCGCATTTGCCTGGCAATCCAGCTGGCAATGCACAAGCGGGGCATTTGGTCCACCCGCCCGACCCCTGGTTTTCTGGTTTTCCTTTCCAAGCTGATACTTAAGGTTGTTTTTTTCCTTGCTTCAGCAACAACTGTTGTCTTCCACGCCAGGGGGAGCAGTGAATCTGAACTTTTTAAAACTTTTTTTTAAAAAAGCACTTTCCAAAGTGCAGCATCACTATGGGTTGGTTGGATGGTTGTGTCCCTTTGAATCGCTTCCGACTTATGGCAACCCTAAGGTGAACCTATCATGGGGTTTTCTGGGGCTGAGAAGGTAGGACTCACTCCAGGTCACCCAGTGGGTTTCCATGCCCAAGCAAGGATTCGAACCCCAATCTCCAGAGTCCCAGTCCTCAACTCAAACCACTGCACCACACTGGCACCGCGGAAGCCTCCTTTAAATTTTGGACTAAAACCCAGCGCATATTCCCTGGCCCACTGACATGAGACCCACTAGCAGTTCCTCATTGGGATAGTGGAGGATGCTTTGGTTGGAAGGTTTTCCCCTTGAAACTCCAAAAGAATAACAACAACCCTTTTCTAATTGTGAAGTCAAAGGCTTTCATGGCCGGCCTCCATAGGTTTTTGTGGGTTTTTCAGGCTGTGAGGCCATGTTCTAGAACAGGGATAGGCAACCTAAGGCCCGGGGGCCGGATGCGGCCCCCTGAGGCCTTTGGACCGGCCCCAGGCCCTCCTGCCACCGCCACCACGATGATATTGATTATTGTTGTTATAACTTGTTCTTGGGGGTTTCTTGGCAAAATCTCCACAGGGGGTTTGTCATGGCTTTTCTGGGGCTGAGAGAGTGTGCATGCATATTTTATATTATTTTTTTTAAAAATTTATTTTTATTTATTTTTGGTACTTCGGCCCCCCAATTGTCTGAGGGACAGCAACCCGGCCCCAAGCTCAAAAAGGTTGCCTACCCCTGTTCTAGAAGAATATATTCCTGATGTTTCGCCCGCATCTGTGGCTGGCATCTTCAGAGAATGGTGGCATGGAGGTGTGTGGGGTATACCAAAGGTCTCATAGTATATATACCGCACACACCTCCATGCCACCATTCTCTGAAGATGCCAGCCACAGCTGCTGGCGAAACATCAGGAATACATTCTTCTAGAACATGGCCTCACAGCCCGAAAAACCCACAAAAACCTTTTCTAATCATGTGTCCATGGAGAGAGAAACTGGGACACTTTACAAACAGCTGCATAAGCCTGCATCTACACTGCAGAATTCATGCAGTTTGACACTGCTTTAACTGCCATGGCTCAACATTATGGGATTTTTTTTTTTTTAGGTTCTTCAAACACACTTACCCTTCTTTGTCAGAGACCTCTGGTGTCACAACAAACTACAAATACCATGGGGTTTCATAGGATGGAGCCATGGCAGTTGAAGCGGTGTCAAACTGCATTAGTGCTGCAGCGTAGATGAGCCTTTACTCTGCTGCTTTAAAAGTGTCCCAATTTCTCTTGCCATGAAGAAATAAATAGAACAGGGTTGGTGTTTTTTCTTTTCTTTTAGAGCTTAAGGGGAAAACCCTTCTCACCAGACCACCTTTCCCAGCATTACTGTCTTTTCCAAAGAGTCCTCTCTTCTCATGATGTGTCCAAAGTACGACAGCCTCAGTTTTGTCATCTTGGCTTCTTCCAGGGAGGTTTCCAGCTTGATCTGCTCTAGGACTGAATTTATCACAGAATCATAGAATCCTAGAGTCGGAAGAGACCCCAAGGGCCATCCAGTCCAACCCCCTTCTGCCATGCAGGAATTCAAGATCAAAGCATCCAGGCTTAAAGACCTCCAAAGAAGGAGACTCCAGCACTTTCCATTGAGGGAGTGTGTTCCATTGTCAAACAGCTCTCACTGTCAGGAAGTTCCTTGTGTGACAGTATGGTACTGGGTAATATATGCGCAGCAAAGCATGCCATTTATAAAATATATAGCAATTACTTGTTGGTCCTTTTGGCTCTCCATGGGATCCTCAGCACTCTTCTCCAGCCCCATATTCTCTCAAATGCATTGATTTTCTTCCTATCATCTTTCTTAACTCTCCAGCTCTCACATCCATCCATGGGAAGAGGGATAACACTGCTAAATAAAATGGTTTACCTGAACCATATTTAATCTTAAATCGAGTTAGATCTGGATCCTATCACAATGATTTTGCCACCGAAATAGACGCCTGAATGCAGCCCGGGTCCATCCCCGCTTCTAAGAGCACTCTGGCGGCAATTTTTCAAGCCAGAAAACTCCTTGTTTCGAAAAGAGGCGCCTGGGAGCAGGGATGGACCCAGGCTGCATTCGGGTGGTGATTTCAGCGGCAAAATCGCTGTGATAGGGTCCAGTTGCAGCCCGATTTAAGATTAAATTCAGTTCAGGTAAACCATTTTATTTTAGCTTTGTGACAGTCTTGAGCAGCCTTAAAATGGGAGATTAATTGGAACCATTCCTGCCAAATTGGGATAGCTGGAGATTCGAATCCTGGTCCCCCTGAGTCCCAGTCAAATCACTACATCATGCGGATTCTGCCTTTGCTGTTAGCATCCATGTCTCCATCTGAGGAGTCTCCCAGACCTAGTTTTTGGGCCTGGCTGGATCTCTTTGCAGACAAGAGAAGAGACCATGCCATGTGTGCGTTTCTTTCTCTGGAGTTCATTACACGAGAGGGATCCCGTGCAAAACCAAGATTTAAAACAGGAAAAAACCGCTTGCGGGTTGATTTTCACATGATATTGAGCATTAACCCGCACAGAAAGTAGGGAAAATCTGCAAAAGCGGATTAATTTTCACACAACGTCAGGGTTAATGAGCGTTAACGCAACGTTAACTTGGACAGAAAGTCGACAAAACACAATTCTTTTTACTTTTGGAAAATCCCAAAAGTAAAAAGAAACACATTTTGTCGACTTTTTGTCTGGATTAATTGCTCATTAACTCCAATGTGCGTGAAAATCAACCTGCATTTTTGGAGAGCTGTGCCATCCATCCTCCTATGGCCTTTCTTGCCATGCAAGAGGAAAGCCATTGGTGTCTAACCATTTTGCTCCAATCTACACAATTACATAGTTTTATACTGTTTTCATTTGTTCTAGATAGATAGATAGATAGATACCGTAGATACATCCATTTATTGGATTAGTCTCCGGACCATTCCAAACATTAATTTCTTGTAATTATCCATTTGCTCAGCTGGATGCTTTTAGACTCTTAAATTGTTTCTTGTTCTTTGAACTCTTGAAATGGTTCTAAAGTGTTTAAAATTGATTTTATCTGTACACCTCCTGGGCTCTTGCGATAGAGGGCAAAATGCACATATTTTAACAGATAAATAATTAAAGGCCAGATTAAGAAGAAAACAGACAAGATGGTGACCGGAATTGTTTTGGTCTTTTATGCACATGAAAGTTCCCTCTTATATGTGGTCATACTCCCTTAGCTATGGTGTAACATCCATCTTTAGTTCATAGTTGTATAAGTGAAGGACATCCCTTCATAAGTGAAGTTCCATGTGTATATACCTCCAACTGTCCCAATTTGGTAGAGACAGTCCTAGTTAATCCTCTGCCATCCCACTTCTTTTAAGCTGCATTTAAAATGTCCTGGTTTCTCTCTACTCCTCCCACTTTCCCCTTTTGTCCTCAGCTTACTGTAAACTGCACTCAAAATACTTTGTCATTGTCATGATCATCATCATCACAATATCATCCCACTTTCCCTTCAAATTGAGACTCGAGGTGTTTTACAACTTAGAACAAGAACAATAAAGCTAAACATAGGCTATTACTCTGCTTGCAACCGTCTGACATTTCAGGACACATATGGCTAAGCAACATCTGAGTTTGGTCAAAATGGCAAAAGTTATTTTTTTATTCATAATTTTTACATTTTCCAACATGTATAAGTAATA